TCATCCTTGGAAAGGTATATACTTTTTCACGATCAGGTAATTTATATTGTGCTTTTTCCGAGTTTAAAGATTCAGAAATTTTCCTGCAAATTTTGTAACTTATGAGAGAATACAGTGTAGATGGATAAAGTTAAGAGGTGTGCAATGCCATTTTTGTGCAATTCTGGGATTTTTTAAGTAAAAATAAGTCGACGCGGTAAATGGTTTTGTGTATGTGCTATTCTGAAAACGCGCAAGGAGTTTGCGAGTGACTTTTCCCCAATTTTGCAGTTAATATTTGTCATGATTAAGCAGTTTTATTACACAAAATTTCTAGCATAAGTGTAATTCGGCTAGTAGATGGTTGGAAAAAGTGTTGAGTAAATAAAAAGAAAAGAAGGCTGATCTTTGGAATATGGTAACTGGTAGTTTCGCGACATTTTGGAGGCGATAAAGGTTACTACCTAGGACTTTAGTAATAATGTGAGAAGCACTCAGTTCCGATTACGCATCATTTTGTGTGAGGGAAATGAGAGATCATGAGATATGTCATGTGACATTAATGGACGAATTACAGTTGTTTAATCGGAAAAGGGGGGAAATCTGGAAATTTCATATTTAGCCATATTCTGCATTATGTGAAACGTGACATTAATGGACGAATTACAGCTTTAATCGGAAAACGGGGTTAATTTGGAAAAGCTTCATTGTGTGTTGTGTGAAATAGTGTTGATTAATTTTCGGATTGCATGGCGCTATATAAAGTGAATTGTAAATTTTTAATGTGTTTATCTGATAATAATAATAAGTTGAGATTGTGTGAAAGGAAGGATATTACAAGTTTAAATGGCGGTGCAAGAAATATGGTGAAAATGGACATTTTGCATAAGGAGTGTAAGGAAAGGTACGTGGTTTGCTAAAAGTAGTTTGAGTATAGGTGAATTTTATAATTTCTTATTACTTGGTGAATAGACTTCCAGTTGACTACTGGATTTAGGATTTAGAAATTAGCAGTAGTACTGCAGCGACGTAATGAAGATTCTGAAGAAGATTAGGTAAGTTAGTATTTTTAATCATTTGAGGATATTATTTTTATGCATTATTCTAAATGTAAGGAGTAAATAAATTAAAATGGTATTATTTGAAAATTGTTATTAGCAATGATTTAGTTTAAAGTAATTAGGATTTTAATCTAATTTTTATAAATTTAACGTATTTATCTTATTTACGTTTGAAGTAGTGTTTTTTAATTTAATTATATTTTAATTTAATGATCGTGATTTTGTGAGTTATATGTTTGTAGTATTTTGGAATATGTTTGAGTAGTATACGTTGAGTATTTTCATGCATTTTCGTGAAATTTTTCTAATTTATGAGAAAAAAGCACTGTACATGGATATAATGAAGAGTGTGCGCAATGCCATTTTCGTGCAATTCTGGGATTTTTTTTAAGTAAAAATAAGTCGACGTGTACACGGTTTAGTGATATTTTAATTAAATGATAGTTATTTTGTGAATTTTATGTTTGTAGGAATTTGGTATACATTTTAGTTGAAGTAAATGTGCATGGAAATAATTTAAATATTTGACACTAAGTATTTGTAATGTTTGTGGTATGAATTTGTTGGTGACGTTTATAATATAATAGATAATTTAGAGGTAAAAGTTTTTGGATATTTTATTTATTTTATATGTGGAAATGTTCATATTTGGAAAGGGTAAATACTTTATAATGATCAGGTAATTTCATATATGTTCTTTTTATCGGGTTTAAAGATTCAGAAAATTGTCATGCATTTTCGTGAAATTTTTCTAATTTATGAGAAAAAAGCAGTATACATGGATATAGTGAAGAGTGTGCGCAATGCCATTTTTGTGCAATTCTAGGATGTTTTTTTAAGTAAAAATAAGTGGACGTGTACATGGTTTATGTGTATGTGTTATTGTGAAAATGCGCAAGGAGTTTGCGATTATGCACTTTTTCCCAATTTTGCAGTGAATATTTGTCATGATTAAGCAGTTTTGTTAGATACAATTTCTAGTATAAGTGTAATTTGGCTAGTAGATTGTTGGAAAAAGTGTTCAGTAAATAAAAAGAAAAGAAATATGTCTTTACTTCGTGAAGACAAAATGGGGGCGGAAAAAAAAAAATAGAGGGTTGCTGTAGCAGAGTTGGTCGCCAAATTTTCGCCAAAAAATCGCCAAGTTACCATAATCCAAAAATCAACCTTAATATAAGTATGTTCTGAGAAAAAATTACAACCTTACTTCATTATTCTTGACAAGATGTTATCCAGCTGAGATAATCCAGAATCATTCTAAATGCTAGTCTGTAAAATATCATACATGATACACAATTTTAAAACATCACAATAAAGTTTCTAACATCCCTGTTTGTCTGTGCATATTTAATAACTATTTAGAAAATTTTTTAAGTTCTTTTCAATAATAATATGTAATGAATACATTAAAATAATTACAAGCTTTTAAAATAACATGTTATCTTTCTTAATGTTAAGTTATACACATATACAAACACACATAAACAAAAGATACAAATCATATACTAATGGCAAAAATAAATGTGTAAAAAAATGTTAACTACTGAATCAAAGAGAAAATAAAATTAAAAACAACAAACACATTTCACATACACAAGAAATAACAAGGGACATTCTTGATCCACTGATATGCAAATATATATAATAGTCATATAAAATTACTCTTCGAATATTGACTTCTTATTTCCGAACTTTATAATTGAATTATAAAATAGAAAGATATTTAACTGATAACTCTCAGTTAACACTGTCTTCAGAACATGTGTTTCAGAAATGTACCATGAGTTATAATATTCTGATAACCTTAGGTAACAAATGAACATGTTATTGAGAAAGCGAACATTTTCAAAAATTTCAAAATGATTAATAAAAATTTTATCACCTTACTGCCGTCAATAATCTTCGTAAACTCTGCAGCTAATTTAAACTACGTTATTGGAAAATAAAATTTACCCAGAATTCATCAAATGACAAACCGAAACCCAAATCCACACTTTTTGCATTCTATTGGCTGCAGAAAAAAAAAAAAAAAAAGAAAAAGAAATGCTGTATTTTTCATATTTTGGAAATATTACAACTATGGCACAGAATGAATAAGTGTCTTATTTATACAACCTGCATGTTAATTTATAAAATATAATAAATATTGTAATAGCGGAGATAGTGGAATTAGCGTTAATTTTTCACAAACGACTTTACGTTCTTGTCGGAATAATTTTATTAAATGGATTACAGAAGAGTTTCATCTCATCTCTTCCAATTTCGGATTTAATTTTCTTTTTAGTTAAAAAAAGGAGAGGCAAGTAAAGTAAATCTGAAAGCGTAATAAAATTTTTAATAACGAACCTGTATGATGTAAAAATGGAAACTTTATTTGCTTGTTCTAACCTCCTTGACGAATGATAAGTATTTAGCGTCCGAGGAGGGGGCTGCGATCACCGAGACAAGCGGCAGCATGATCGCTGCGCTCCGTAAAAAAGTGAAAAAAATTCCTTTCCCCTTGGTGATTATCAATTAAATTACTTTGAAATAATGTTTTTTTTTACAACACCTATATCATTCCAATGAATTTCGGTTCCGATGTTGACGAGAATAAAACAGCGGATATACTCCAAAAGCCTGGAATTTTAAGATAAGTACTTTTCTTTCATCTAAACTAAATCAAATTTCTATAAATAAGTGCCTTTAAATCAATAAATCTTAATTTTTCATCACTTTGAAGCATTGAAAAATACTTGAAATTGCTCATTGCTTGTGGCTTTCTTTGTGTATCAACTCCAAACAAACGCCAACGTTATCAGTTCACGTCTGTCAATACCAAGGAGGTAGACCAAGGAGGTTAACATTTACAAAGCCCTTAAGGAATCTCGTGAGAGGAAAATTTGGGCATCGCGCTATTTCCCTCTCGGATCTTCTGGATTCTCTTTTCTTTTTAGATCGCTTGAATATAGGTTCGCCGTTAAATAATATTATACCTTACCGATTTTTTCTCATACTGTTCTTTGCTATCTGTTAATTGTCCATATGTAAGGGATGGTTTATTCTTCACCACCTTAAATGAATTCTTAGAACTATGAGCTTATATAAATAACAGTGTGCCTCGTTGTGTTATACTAACATTAATTAACTAGTAATAAATAACGATAGTAAAATAATTAATCTTGTAATAAATTATGATAGTTAAATTAATAAATACTATTTAATTTGTGTTTATACATATACTCAGTAATTTACACACACATATATATATATATATATATATTATTTGTTATTTTTTTTTTTTATTTTTTTTTTGTGTGTGTGCGGTTGTGGTTTTGTATTGTATATGGTTCTATGTTGTTTATCTGCTGCTGTTTTTTGAAAAATGTATGAAAATGTTGAGAATGAAAGTAGCATAAGTTACTTTGGTTAAATTAATATATACTTTTGTTGATATCTCAGGATGCAAGCATACATATTACTTTATATTCCATGCTAAATATCTTGATACGAAGCATTTTAACACCGTCAATATTTGTCTTTTCCCCAGTAACACATCTATTCACCATTACCAAACACACTCACTACACACACACCTGTGAGACACTATTTATTGTAAATGAAGACAGTTTTTTCTCCTTTTAACTACACTGATGGACACAATCTTATTTTAGGATATTTTCTACTTCTTTTCCTTTTCTTTCAATAGGCCCTTTTTTTTTTTTTTTTTTTTTTTTTTTCCCTCTATTATTTTTGGGCCATTTATTTTAAATTTTATTTTGTCCTATCTTTTTTTTCCTGGCCTTTTGAACTCGTACAAGATATACGAAGTTCCTTTTTACTCTCCTCAAATACGAAGTTGCCCCCCTTTCTATATACCTTTCCTTCGCACCTATGCTTGATTTTTCGCCCATCGGTGCAGAAAGCGGGTGCAAAACAAGACATCTGTCTACTTTGTCTGTCTGTCTGTCAGTATTTAGCGTCTTCTTGCGGTAAAAGTGCTAAACTTAACGCGTAATCCAAGGCTAACCTACAGATTTAAAATCTACGTGATGTTTTGACTGATATGTTGAAAGGTATTTGGAGGGGTTGAAGTATTGTCATGTTACATTTAAAAAAGTATTTAACGTAAATAAATAGATATCATATTATGTATTTGTATGATATCGAGTGTATTGCTGGTTGTTAAATAGGGCATTTCATTCTTAAATAGTTGCGTAATTTACAAGCTTTGTGTTACTGTCAGTGTAAGTATATGCATTTTATTGTTTGAAAAGTCATCGGAAAGAGGTAAAAAAAGAATTATGAATATTTAAACCGTAATTCTGTACCTGGATTAAAGGGGTGAAGCATTGTAAACATAGTTCGAATTTTGCATTTCAGCATAATCAGCTGTTACAATATTGCATGTCGAAACCAAAAATTTCAGTCTCGTTATCCTTCTGCTAATTGATTCTTTGCATGTTACTAATTAATTATTTCCTGTTTTAGACCCCTTATTGTTTTACATTTAGTTCGTTAATAATAACAAACTCTTAATCATTTGAGACCTGAACAGTATCTTAATTTTCTTAGTCTGATTGAACTGTAATTCTTCAGCAGTATAACATTTTATTTTTATTTTTCAGAAATATGGCCGAAACAGAGGAAGATCTTACCATACCACGAGCTGCGATGAACAAAATGATCAAAGAACTTTTGCCGCATATTCGTGTTGCAAACGATGCAAGAGAACTCATCCTTAATTGTTGCACAGAATTTATTCATCATATATCTTCTGAAGCTAATGATATTTGTAATAAACAGCAAAAAAAGACCATATCAGCAGAACATGTGCTTGGAGGTAAAGATTTAAAGTATAGTAGTAAAATAGTGATAAATTATGGAAGTAATCTTATTTTGCAAAGAATACTTAGTGTTAAATATTACAGCAGTCCAAGCTATTTCTCAAAAAAATATCATTTGTAGAATGATTAATGCCATATATAATGCATTTTTTGTTATGTTAGAATACCACAATGGGGTTTATCTGCTAGCAATTATTTGAAATTGTGAAGATATGTCTGTTCTCAGTAACACTTTGTTTGTTGTTTTGTTGTTTTCTAGTTTCTGTTGATACTGAATATTGAGTTAACAAAAGTGAATGAACCACACTTCAGTTATTATTTATTAAGTGTGGTGTTTAAGTTATAGTAATCGTGTAGTAATTAAATTTACATATTTTTAAAAATAGAATATATATGTTACATAAATGCGAAAAGTACAATTAATTAGATGCCCCTTGTTTCTTGGCAGTTCTTTTTTGATGCCAATATCGGCGCCAGGAGGGCACAATTCAAGATGGCCGCTAAACAAAACCAAATTAAGAAATCAAAGAATTGCACAAACTCTGTGTCCATGTACACATCGATCTGTTTTCACTAAAAAAAAAAAAAAAAATCCTAGAATTGCACAAACTAGGCATTGCGAACTGCCTTAAATTTGTCCATGTACACATCAGTCTGTTTTCATTTAAATAAAATCGGGAAACTAAAACAAAAGTTGGTTAATCTTTGGCCTCCTACAGCAACCTGCTAGTTTTTGTTTGGATGCCATTTTGTTTTCACAAAGTAAAAGCTTTTTTTTTTTACTCAACATTTTTGTCCAACAATCTGCTAGCCGAATTACGCTTATGCTAGAATTTTTATGGAACAAAAGTGAAGTGTCTGGTATGCAAATATAGGAAAATAACACTTCTCCGACTCCAATGAAACCAATATTTTCTTCCTTACGAAGTTATAGATTCTTATTCATAAGATTTATTTACATTTTACATGCACGTTGAATCGCATGACAGAAAAACCAACGTTTGTTTACTTCGTTCTTTGCGAAGACTAGAAAGTGTTGCCACTCCGCTTTAACTAAATTTAATTAGAAACTTAACGGAACTGAAGCGACACTACACACCACCTTCCTAGTGACAGCGATTATGGAAGATAGTCTTTAAAGTGACTCGGGAACTTCAGATGTCTGCCGGTTCTAGTAGTCTTGGTTTCATGATGAGTTTCTGAATTTTCCGCAGTGTTCTTGAGTGCAGGTGTTTCCCCAAGTTCCGCTTTCTTGGAATGGGAGTTTTGGAAAGGAATATCAGAATCTTGCACTAGGAAAACATGGCTTTAGTCTGTCTATCGGTGAAACTCTTTTTAACTTTTCCTTGGATTTCAATATCGAAATACTTATCCTTTCTTGCTCTTATAGGATACGGTCCAAGATAGACAGGCTGTAGTGAACGAATTATTAATGTTGTTGTATAGGAATACGTGAGAAACAGTTGGAAAGATGTTTAGAAACAAAGACTGTTCTATTTCCATGGGTGGTGGTAGAACTTTGGCTTCATATCTCTTATTATTTTCTGAAGGTTTTGAGAAAATTCAGACTGTTTCATATGAGGTACTGTTTGAAAAGAATTCACCAGGTAATGCTAAAGGGGTTCCGTATACAAGTTCTGCGGATGAGCCACCTAAGTCTTCCTTGATGGCAGATCTTATGCCTAAAAGAACAAAAGGCAATGCTTCCAGCCATGATGTTGATTCCAGTAGATGACATCTGAGACTTGCTTTTAAAGTTCTGTGTTGTCTTTCGATCAGGCCATTTGCCTGTGGATGGTACACAGTTGTAGTGTTTGTATGAAAACTAAGATATTTTCCTAAAGCTTGAAAAAGTTGGCTATCAAATTGCCGACCTTGGTCAGATGTTATGCGATTTGGAATTCCAAAGCGTGAAAACCAAGTATAAATCAAAGCTTTAGCAATAGATTCTGCTGATTGATGTTCTAACGGTACCGCTTCGATCCATCGTGTATAACGATCGATGATGGTTAGAAGAAATTTGAATTCTTTACAAAGAGGTAGCGGACCCACCAGATCTATATTTAAATGCTGGAATCTGTGTGAAAGGTACTTTGAATTCTCCCATAGATGACTGTGTATGTCTGTGAACTTTAGATCTTTGGCAAGATAAACATGCTCTAGTCCATAGTTGGCAGTCTTTATTCATATTGGGCCATATGAAACGTTGTGTTATCAATTTTATCGTGGATCTTATTCCAGGATGAGATAAATTATGGATTGACGAAAATATTTTCTGCCGAAACTTTGCAGGGATGTATGGTCGATTATAATTTGTAGAAGTATCACAGTAAATTTTCTTGTCGCTGTCTGGTATAGGGATCTGTAGGATTTTTAAGTTTGGGTTATTTTTAAGTATCTCCAAGTCTTCATCTTCTTGACAGTCTACTATAGTTTGTAAGTCTATTGCAGATGGTACAGAAATGGTGTCTATGCGAGAGAGAGCGTCAGCGACGGTATTTTCATGCCCTTGTATGAATCGGATATCGGTTGAGAACTGGCCTATATATGATAGTTGTCTAGCTTGTCGTGGCGAAGCTTTTTCCAAATTTTGTTGGAAGGCAAATCTTAGTGGTTTGTGATCTGTGTATATTGCAAAAGTTCGCCCTTCTAAGATGTATTTGAAATGTTTTACTGCTGTATAGATGGCTAAGGAGTTCTCTGTCGTAGGCACTATATTTTTGTTGTGCTGGTGTGTCAAATTTCGGGAAAAGAAACTTAAGGGTTGTTTTTCATTATTCACAATCTGATGTAAAACGGCTCCAATGGCAGTATCGGAAGCATCAGTTGTTAGCGATATTTCAGCCTTTTCGGATGGGTGAGTTAAGTTTGTGGCATGAATAAGTGCATCTTTTAAGATCTGGAAGGCGTTTCTTGTTTCTGCCGTCCAGGTTATTTCTTTTCTGCAGTTCTTTTTTTAATACCACTGAGCAATGTTGTTAAAGGTTGTTGCAGTTTCGCACAATTTGGTATGAATCTGTGATAAAAATTCACCATACTAAAAATTGTCTTAAACTAGTAAATGACTTTGGTTCTGGGAAATTTTTGATGGCATCAACTTTCGTTGAAAGAGGTTTAAGTCCTTCAGCTGACACTTCGTATCCCAGGAATGCAAGTTTTGTTTGACCAAATTTACACTTTGCCGCATTAATACACAGGCCATATTCGTTTAGTCTCTCGAGGACTGCTCGTATATATGTTGTTCGATGAGTTTCTTCATCTGGAGAGGCTATTAGAATGTCATCCAAATAGCAAAACACGAATTCTAGTCCATTCAACACACTGTTCATGAAACGTTTGGAACGTTTGGGCCGCATTTCGTAGGGCCGAACGTCATGAATGGGAACTCGAATAAGCCAAAGGGAGTGAGAATGGCCGTTTTCGGTATATCTTCTTCGCGAACTGGAATTTGTTGGTACGCTCTAATGAGGTCTATGGATGAGAAAACTCTTTTTCCAGCTAAAATGGAACTGCAATCTGTTAAAAATGGGAGAGGGTATCTATCAGGAATCGTGACGTTGTTTAACGCTCGATAGTCTCCACAAGGTCTCCAATCACCTGATTTCTTCATAGCGAGATGTAGTGGGCTCGACCAGTTACTTTTGGATGGCCTGCATAAACCCATTTGGAGCATAAATTCAAAAACTCCTTTTTAGTCGCTTTGAATTTCTCAGCTGATAGTCTCCTGGCTTTAGCGAAAACTGGTGGACTTCTGGTTTCGATATAATGTTCAATGTTATGATTTTTAACTTTATTATTAACTACATTCAGTTTTAACAAATCCGGAAAATCGTTAATTATACGTTTATATGGATCATTTACGGCATTTAAAATTGGAATATTATTATTGTTATTTTGAAAACAAGGAGTTCCATTGGTTGTTAAGAATGTAGTACCATCAATCAACTTGCGATTTTTAGAATCTACCAAAAGGTTAAAATTTGCAAGAAAATCCATGCCTATTATCGGTTTGTTTACGTCCGCAATTACAAAAGGCCATGTGAATGATCGTCTGAGTCCAAGATCAAGCTTGAGTAATTTTTGGCCATATGTTTTAATTTTCGTACCATTTGCAGCAAAGAGTTCTAATTTTGAGATGTTTTTTTTATCTGCAGGTAAGGGAGGAATGACAGAAATTTCTGCCCCAGTATCTATTAAAAATTGGGTAGCCGATTCTTTGTCGCTGATGAAAAGACGACTCAGCTGCACCCCTTGTCCCTCCGTCGTCAATGAGAGACGGGGAGGGAGCTGGTTTTCCGGACTATTTGTCTGTGATGTTGATGAGTAGTTGCAGGGTTGTTTACACTTAAATGACTTATCACCGAATTTTTTATGATAGTAACAAATATCACTAGATCTGTTACCACTGTAACTCCTATCTCTTGATTTGGATCGGTTACGACAATAGGGACGACTGTGGCGTTGCTTGTTTAAAGCAGAAACTTGTAAGCTAAGTTCACTAACCTGTTTTTGTAAACTTTCAATCACTTCCGTTTTTACCGTTATGGATGATGCAGCAGCTATTTGGGGAGTAACAGGGTTTAATTCCCAAATCTTATCGGCCATTGTAGCCACTTTTGACAAATCTTCACTACTAACAGATATAATGCTACGCATATTAACGGGTAAACGTTGTAGCCACAATGTTTTTAGGAAAGTATCTGTTACTTTATCGCCCGCCAAATTACGCATCTCACACAGCAATTGAGATGGCTTTTTGTCACCCAGTTCTAATTCACTCAGTAATTTTTGGGTTTTTTGAGTCTCTGAATCAGCATATAATGAAATTAGTCTATTTTTAATTGCCTCATATTTATTATCTTGTGGTGGACTTAGCAAAATATCAGATACCTGTGACAAAATATCGGGTTCAATGGAACTTATAACATAATCATATTTTGTTTGATCTGCACTAATTTTTGCATTTCTAAATTGTGCTTCTAGTTGAATAAACCAT